TCTCTCTGTCCCAAAAATAAATAAACGTTGAAAAAAAAAATGGACAATGGTTGTGAAATTAGTGCTACTCCAGCTCTGGAGATTGGCCCGGATGTTTTAGAGACACCCCGCCTCTCCTGAAGCATCTAATCTCCAGGCTGTATCATTAGGGGTGACACTGAGGCTTAATCCCTAACCGTGTGCAACTGTGCAATTTTAGTATTCTGGTTGCCTCGCCTTACACGAATCCTTTATACTGGATGTGGCAAGAACATCTAAAAGGAGGGGCCGCTTGCACTTTGTAGAGCTCACAGACAGGATGTTTGTGAGTGAATACACCTGCCTGATGGTTAGTGTTTGCGGGGTAAGGCGGAATTTCATCTGAAACTTGTCTTCTTTATAACACGGTAGCGAAGATGTGGAGGAAGAAGTGAGTAATCCTCGCTGACCTCTGACTATGAGCTGCTAGGAGAACTACCACGAGAACCTAAGAGTTATGCCTGGTCAAACTGGCCCGGGTCAAGACGCAACCCGTTGTACAGATGAGGAAATAAAGCCTCAGAGAAGTTGAAGAGCCAGGCTGGGACAAGGTGCACTTGCTAGTCTCGGCCCTGGCCTCCCGAAGCCTGCACTCCCTGGCTGGAGCCCCCACCCGCTCCGGGCGGCTTCCCCGCGGGGCCCCGACCCTGGCAGCCCGCGTCCCCGGGGACGGGCGGCGAGCCACGCTCTCTCACCCTTGTGGCAGTGAGACAGGAAGTAGGCGCGGGCCTTCAGGTTCTCCCTGTCGAAGCGGTCTATGGAGATGGTTGGGTACTCGGCCATCTGTCCCTGGAAGCAACTCATAGCGCCCGCGAAGCCAGCGCAACCGGCCCCGACTCAGCCTGCGGAAACTGAGGTCTTCCCGGGCCGCGCCGCCACTTCCGGGAACCTGCCGCCGCCAAGCCATTGGCCGGCCGGGCGCAGCCACGTCCAATGAGAGGAGCCGTGTGGTGGTAGGGGCGGTGCCGAAGAGCCTCAGGGGAGAGTCTGCGGCCAGCGACCCGCGGAGTTAAATATCGGAGCTGCCCGACGCTGGGCTGGGACAACTGCAGTGCCTAGGGCTGGGGCGACCGGCTAGGACCTAGGGTGCGGGGCGAAGAGGGTGGCGCTGCCGGGAACTTTGACTCAACACGGGTGACTTTCTGGTGCAGAGTGCCCGTTGTCTGTGCAGGAACGATAGCGCGAAGGGAAAGTGAACACCCGTAGCAGGTGCTCCACCCAAGGAGGCAAAGACACGAAGGGGGGGTGTAAAGCTTCTCTTTGAAATCCGGCTGCGTTCCACCCCCTGCTTGTCTGAGAGCCTGAAAGCCGAGCTCAGTTCCTTCTTTCCGTCATCTTCCCAGTTTCTACCTTGGGGGATAACATGAGAATTGTATGAGGAAAAACTTGTATGTGACTCATGGTAGATTCAATAACTGTTAGTTCCCGCTTCCATTTATAATCTACAAACTGAGTGAGTAAACAATCCCTGATGATCACAACTCAGATCCGTGATCTTAGGGTAGGTAAGTAAAAATCCCAAGGATAGCTTACGGGTTGGCCTTCTGCTCTCCTTCCCCCCCCCCAAGCCCCGCACCCCCGCCACCAGCCCACCACCCTTTTGAGCTACATTTTTAGAAGGTCGAAGGATACATAAACGAAAAAGAAGTGGTGGGTGAAAAAGGATAGGTCTTAAGGGGGGAAAGTTCTGGGATTTTTTAACCACCAAAACAACTTTATGAAAAGGTTTGTTAAAGCATTAAGAATCACCGAATGGCGAATGGGCCATTTATCGGGCCCCTTCCTAGCAAATCTGCTTTAAACACCTTGATATTAATACAAACAAACACCTTGAACACTGTTGAGGTCTTGCTTTGTGCATACCATCGTTATAAGCGTTGCAGTGTTTACATCGACGACTAAGACGTGCCTTCAGGTACGTTTTCAACCCATTTGGAGACAACACCTTTGCAAAATATGGTGAACAAATGCTTCCACAGACGCACAAAGTAATATGGGGAAAAATCCAAGAACAATGAATTTTAAGCAGTGGAATCAGGAATCAGAATGCCAACCTCAGAGAATATCAGCATTTCCCTGCACCCTGGTCCTCAAAGTTCTATTCCAATTCTCATAAGAGGAAGAAAAAGAAGGGGAGGAAGAGAAAGAAGGGTGAGTGGGAATGGTATGACATCAGAATCACTCATTTGAGTAAAGCATTCCGCTAGTAAGCTGTTGCCAACACCTTTGATTTGGTATAAGATGGTTTGTCTTCGAATAAAGGAGAACTAAGCTGTCTACACCTAACACCAAGTTCTGCAGTGAGACTGGTACCTGGAGAATCTGGCGTGTCTACCTCGGCCAGAATTTGGAACTCCTGGCAAGGCAGGCCAAGATAATATTCATATTCTTCCCTATCCGCTTATGTATCCTCCCTTCTTTCCATGATGGATACAGTATGAAAGCACAAAGGGAAATAGAGTCAGGATGAAGGGAGAAGATAGGTTAGGAAATAATGAAGATGGGTAAGCACAGCCCACAGACGTGCACACGTGTACTCTTGGGAGAAGTCAGCCAATTATTCGGCTCTTCCAGAGGGAGCCACACTCACTTACTAGGCTATAATATCCTCAGGTCAAAATAAACAAATTTTCAGGAGAAGCCAAATTTGCTGGATACTGCATCCCAAGAGAAATGCCTCCTGTAGCTGCTAGTAGAGAAAAGTGAAATGCAGTCAACAGCATCAGCTACTGCTCTGTTTCCTTACTCCCCACTTGGGAATCTTTCTGCAATCCCAAGCTCTTTGGACTTCTAAGCCCTGATTTGTCTCATCTCAAAAGGACTGAAGACAGCTACCAACTGTATATTAAATACCAAAAAGGGAGTTCTTGAGGTAAGTGTAAGTCTTTGCCGGGAAATCACTAGCAGATATATTTTTCTTATTTTATAAGCTGTTGTCAATATAAATAAACTGGGTTATAAATTCACTATATTCTGTACTATTATTTTGGAAGAAATAGTGTCACACTAGGAAGTATGCCATGAGATATGTTTTTTTAAAGAAGTGTATTTATGTGTTAGGGCTGCTATAACAAATTCCACAGACTGGGTGTCTTAAGCAATGGAAATTTAATTGTCTCATAGTTCTGGAAGCTGGAAGTCTGAGATCATATTGTACTATACCATTTATGTAAAATTATGGAAAATGTGAAGTGATCGAAAGTGACAGAAAGCAACTCAGCAGTTGGTTCGGGGCACAGGAAACAACAGGTGTATGCATATGTCAAAACTTACCAAATTATATGCTGGTTAGTATGTGCTATTTATTGCATTTCAATCATAGCTCAATGGACTTGTTTTAAAAATGTTTGGAGAATGTATGGGAGAATGTGGACAAAGTGAACAAGATTAGCAAGGATATCCCTTCTCTGGAGGAGTTAGGAAGATACTATATGGCTAACTCACATAGCAAGAAGGTGGCTTTGAAAAATCACAATGTATGTGTATTCTGCATTAGTTGCACATATCTCTCTACCACGAGTAGCTCTTCGCCATTCCTCCTACTCTCAACCCTCTGATCGATTAAAAAGTGTTATTATTCAACTAAGAAAAAAGAAGGAAGGAGAGAAAGAAAGAAAGAGGAAAGGAAAGAAAAGAAAGGGAGAGAGAGGGGGGAGGGAAGAAGGAAGGAAGGAAGGAAGGAAGGAAGGAAGGAAGTCCACTGAAAAGTCCTGGAAAACGGTAGGTACTCAATAAATATTAGCTTTTATTATTATCTACTGAGCATCCACTAAGTGCCAGGCATTGTGCTGGAACCGGATGTACATAAAGGAATGAGCCATGGAACAAGAGCTTACAGTCTGGGAGAAGTAGAAACTCATGGAAATAAATGCAAGAGGTTTCACAAGCGCTTTAATGGAAGTGTGCTCAGAATGTGGTGTGGACATCAAGCAGAAGAGCTCAATTATGGAAAGGAATTTGCTACGGAAAAACTTATCAAACAAGGTGACCCTGAGTTCAGCTTCCAGGCCCAAGAACAGCTGAAGTCTGTTCTTCAGCAATGAGCTTTTTATTCAGTCTGGGAATTGCAAATAGTTCCTTTTAACCAAAGCACTAGGGGCAAAAGGGATAAAATAATAGGGACTTAACAGGGGAAGTCAAGGCTAAACTGGGTAAGAAGGGACCAGACCAAACCAAAGAGTGTAATTTGAGTGGCAGTGAGAAGCCTGGGTGGTTTGAAACAAGACAGGTGAGATCAGAACAAGTATGGACCCTGGAAGAGCATCACCAACAGTATTTGGGAACCTGTTAGAAATGTAAAATCATGGGGCGCCTGGCTGGCTCAGTTGATCTCAGGGTTGTGAATTCAAGCCCCAGGCTGGGGGTGGAGCCTACTTAAAGTTGTTTTAAAAAATGCAAAATCTCAGGGCACGTGGGTGGCTCAGTTGGTTGGGCGTCCGACTTCGGCTCAGGTCATGATCTCCCGGTCCGTGGGTTTGAGCCCCACATCAGGCTCTGTGCTGACAGCTCAGAGCCTGGAGACTGCTTCGGATTCTGTGTCTCCCTCTCTCTCTGCTGCCCCTCTCCCGCTCAAGTTCTGTCTCTGTCTCTCTCAAAAATAAACATTAAAGAAACTTTTAAAAAATGCAAAATCTCTACTGTAGCCCAGATATGCTGAATTAGAACTCTCCAGCAATCTATTTTAACACACCCTCCAGGGGATTCTGAGTGTGAAAGCAATTTGAGTTAGAAAGAGCACTCAGGCAGTCTGGGGCAGGGCATCTCCATAGGAAGCTGCCACAATACTCCAACGGTGTGGAATCATTTATTCACTCAACAAACAGTCCCCGGCCAGCTACTGTGTGCCGGTGACTATTCCGAACATTAAAGAGACCGCAGTGAGCAAAGCAGAGACAAACCTATGTAGCAATGCAGTATACGTTTGAGTGGAAATCATTATCATCTATATAGTCCCAGGTGCTGTCCTAAATGGTTTATATTTCTTGTGTCATCCTCAAAACTACCCGATCAGGTACAGTTTTGTCTTCACTTTACAGTTAAGGAACCTGAAGTTCAGTCAATTTGGTTAACAAGATCTCTGTCTTTCTGGAAATCACATTCTTGCAGAAGATAAACAATAAAATTAAGAAATAAAGCAATTTAAACAGTATATGAGGTGGTGATAAGTGCTGTGGACAAAAGAAACACTAGAGCATAATAAGGGGTATAGAGAGCATGATGGGAGGAGTGAGCTAAAGAGATGGGGCTGGGAAAACTTGAAGAAGAGGAAGTCAGCCAAGGGGATAAATGGAGCAAGACCATTCCAGGCAGAGGCAAAAGCCACAACTAAGGCCTCAGTGTGGAAGCTAGGCTAGGAACTGCCAGGTCAGCATGGCTAGAGTGGAGTGCTCCAGGGCTCCAGAGCAAGGGAAGAGAGAATCTTGTAAGGTTTTGCTGGGTTTTACTTTGCAAGATGGGGAGCCATCGCAGGACACAATCTGAATGATGTTTTAAACGGAATGCACTGATTTTGCTTTGGGCATAGACGAGGGGAGACAAGAGAGACCTATTGGGGACTATCGCAATAACCAGAGTAGGGGGAAAACGGTGGTGGCTTGGACTCACTGGGAACAGAAAAGCCAACAATGACGGATAAAGAAGGCAGGGCAAAGAGTGGACTCTAGGACCCATTTACTGAAGGAGGAAGACTGTGGA